CATATCGCCGACGGAATGCTCATCCTTTCCGAGCTCATTCCATCCGACTATCCCAGACTAAACCGTATGAGGTGCAATATTCTCCGAGCATCGTCTCTCGTAGATCGGACAATGACACGTACGCGACGTGAATCATTTTTGTTCCATAGCTTTAGAAGTTTCCTACCGAAATAACCCCGCGTACGAATTGTCGGCATCGGGATTGTTCCCATGGAGAACGAGATCTCGACTGCCCGGAAAGAAGCGTCCGGAAAGCCGAACAAGTAACAAATGAATTTTTCAGTCAGAAGAAGAACTGACAACATCGTGGATGCCCACCGCTATTAGGCAACGCAGTATTCGGATCCGAGTTGTCTTGCCGATGACTGCTCTTTCCAATCAATCCGAACCGTTGCCGGGTCACAACACTGAGCTACATGCGCCAAATGGTTTTACGATGCAAACACCTCGTGCTTATTATCCAACGCATTGATTATCGCCGCGCGAGAACACAAGCGTTTACGTTCTGCGACACTGTTTTCTGTAGGGGCGCTAACGCCCGGATGACGAAATATCGTCTAGCAGTTTCAGCTATTTTAGACTTGAGCAGAAGAAATCCGGGCCCTTCGACCTTGCACTATCGGTGTCCGAATTCCAGCGGCTGTCTGCTCGGTTCGATCTTGATTCGGTCGTCGTCCGTCGAGAATCCTCTTGAAAGGTCTGCGCACTGTTGAAGGCGAAGGTTGACAGAAAAACGCCAATATACAGAGCGACTACGATGTCGGCCGACATCGCGCGACGCATATCTGTAATTGAGATAAAGCCGAGTCGTTTTGGGGCTACTACTAATACGAGATCGATCCGCTGCTTTTGCTTATCGTCTACCTACGCATCGGCGTCGCTCGGCTCTGGTTTCTATCTGATGGCGTGACGATGTGCCGTTCAGAAGGAGTCGTCGCATGATTTGTGGAATCAGAAATCTTCGTCATTCGAAGAAGGTTGATTGAAAGCCCGAATAGGACTCTCTCCAGCGAGCCAAGGCTTGGATTGAATCTGATGATTGGCCGTTTCCCTGCATTCGACCGCAGTTGACGTCTCTTGAAACACACATCCGGCTCATCGTCATAGTCACGATGCGAAGCACGTCCCACGGTGCTAATCCCCTCGAATCACTTGCGTGCAAACCTCGACGGCGAATAGCATTTGACACCCAGTAGTAGCCGGCTGAGTGAATGTTCCTCGAGGATCGTACGCGCGAGAATCGGTCGAGGCTCGAGCAAATGAAATTATCCTCGCTCGAAGGAATGAGCAAGTGCACTCAGAAGATTTAGGACGACAGGAAAAAATAACTGACGGAGAACGACGGGAAATTCAGAAGGTCGACTCGCCGCGAGTCGGATCCTTAGATTCGTTTAAGCCCTTAGTTGCGCCGACTGCATAAACGCCCGGTGTCGAGTAATCCGGTTCGCACGATGAGAATGTGCTCTAAATGCATTAGACTTCCGGCGAAACAATGCTTGATCAAATTACTTGCGCGTGTCGGCGTGGAAACGACTGGGGCTTACGGCCGCGGGGAAAAAAAGTATATTCCTCGCTATTATCAGATCTTCTCCGGAAGAAGAAGACTTTGATCTTGTGGATGGAAGCGAACAAAGGAGGTAGTCCATAGGGCGAGACGTGAGATAGCATTCGGAATAGAGACTCGGAGGAAATATAGGCGCTTCTATCGAGGGAACCTGTTTGCAGGCTGAGCCTCGGCCTTGAGTGGGTTTATGTATCTTTCTCCTCGATAGAAACTGGGTTGACGGTCGGAGACACCGGCACATGAGAAAAGATACCTGCGTAGTGATCGAGGTCCGTTCGCAGTAGTTGGCTACAAGATGGAGGACGTCTGTTCCGAACAGACGTTTCAATGAGAGATTCACGCTCAAAATGCCCTGAACTCATCCAGCAAAGATTCCCGTAAGGCTAACCTGGTGCTCTGATGGACATTCCATGCTGATCGTGCGACATTTCCACGTCTCATTCCCAGGAGACCTTTTTTGCTACCGAAGTACCACTAATTGAGATCGAATGTCGTAGGAGCCCGATCCGAACCGTCGCGTCGGCGTCGTCAATGGAGACGGAGGATGAGTATCGATTCATGCAAACACCGCGCTCAGTTGACGAGCTCAATGAAGACAGACGTGTTCCGGATCGAATCACTAACGGAATCGAGTATGATCATCCCAGGGAATTACGCGGACGCACGATCGACATTGATTTCCGATACCGTATTTCTTTAATCGAAGGGCATGTCCCATAGTTTCCCAGCCCCCTTGCAGAGTCCCTTTCAATTAGGGCATGTCCTCGGATCGGAGTATGCCCCCCAATGTTCACAATCAGATTGTGAAATAACCCGGACTCTTCCTTAGCTCGTTCGAGCAATGGCGGGAAAAACACTGGCCTTATCGGACGGTGAAAGATAGAGTATGATAACTTGTCTTTTCGATCACTACCTATCTTTACATGTAAGTTCACAACGAGTCACATCCTCCATCAATTCCCTCTGAAACATGAGAAATGCTTCTCGTCACGGGAGGTCAGATGGAGTTTGAAATTTTTACGGCGGCGAAGCAAAAATGTACATAGTAGGCTAGCGGAGAAGCTCCGCGGCCTTCGGTTTTTCGATTGCCGAAGGAGACTCCGAAGAAGACTCGGATAGATTTCATAGCCGTCTAGACTCTGGAGAGAGGGAGTACAGGTAAAATTTTAACGGGGATCTTCTGCACAGAGAAAGACTTTTTCCTCGAATACTTGCGGACTTGCGCGAGAACTTGGACTCCGATCCCCAGCGATTCCGAAGCGGATAGCGGTCGAGCACGGCTGAAGCTCGGGTATCGGACTCGAGTGAATGAAGTACAAAAGGGAAAGGAGAGTGGGGATGCGAACTTCTCGAATACGCTTACGCTGTACCTGTTCGGAATTCAGTCGTTCCGCCTTACGAACCTATTTGACGATTAGACAGATGGCATGCCCTGGCAGGGATCTCTTTTTGATTTCTTAACGTGACCACCGTCACACGTCTTCTTTGTTCGGGAGAGGAGCGCATTAGACCAGATGCAACATTAATTTTTGCACCGGTTCGAGGAGCCGTCTCGGCACCGTCCCGGAGTTCCGCGAGTTCCGATAAAAATGCTCGATCTCGGGAGATTAATTTCCGCTAACGTGTCAACGTTGTGTTCTCAGATAGAGAAAGCGCCGCTCTCGCTCGATGCGTTCAGCCGCCCGTTGCGCGATCCAGACGCAAACCCTCAAACCAGAATGTCGCTGTTTAATACAGGCGACTGTACCAGCCAGAAGGCTAGTCAAAGCCCTCGGGAGAGCTCTCGGGTATCCCCAAGGAACGCTAGTTGGCCCCGATGCAACCGGGAAGAGGATCCGGTGGGACATCGGAAGAACTTCTCGATTCGGGGAACGCCGGAAAGCGTCGAGAACACGGCACGAGGAGAAGTTCCGCGGGTCACGAGGAGAAGTTCCGCGGGTCACGAGGAGGTTTCCGCGCAGAGAAGCAAGAGTGAGTGCCTGTCGGTAAAAGAGAGAGGCAAAAAATTGCTAAAAAGACGTACGCTCCTCATCCAGGCTGCCGGCTGAGCGCAGAGCATAACACAGTGAGCTGCGAGTGGTATGCCACCAGAGCCTCACGAACAAAAGCCGAGAAGTGACATCAAAGCTTAGCCGCTCCCTTGTGCGGGCATCCACTAAGTGCAAAGAACACAAAGCATGCATATGCATTTAATAGAGTCCACTCTTGACTGCCGTCATTCGCGCCGACAGCTCATGAGTGGTAGTGGTAGTAATAAAGGACCGACTGAGAGGGCACTCTGCCGCATCCAGGAGCTCTTGCATGCCGATTGATTCACCGGGGAGGAGCTTCACATCGAGGATTCTACTCCAAGAAGGGCGTAATCATGGACTGGGAATACCTGCGAGTCGCGGAAAATATCCTCGAGAAAAACCGGGGTCGTGCCGGCCGCCGATGAAACATCCCTGGCTTCACGGGAACAGATTCGGAGAAGATTATCGATTACGATGAAGACGACAGTCTGATACATTTACGTTGAGCAGCGATGGACGGAAAATCTGCGGAAGCGAATAGGGATTGAAAAATCTCCAAAGAATGGCCTATTCCGGTTTCGCTCTGATTGGATTTCATTCTTCGCTCCTCGAGCGGAGGAAAGCGCCCAGAGTTTATTGCTCCGGACCTAATTTTCCGGTATCGTTCCATTCATTCGCATAATCATGATTTTGTTCCGGTCATACAAGTGATTGCTGATGAATCCGCTCTGGAAGTTTCGGCAGTTGGGCCAACCCTCTAACTCCTCTCGACGGTCTCGATAGAATTTGTTCGGTACACGTGTGCGCCCCCGAGCTCATTCGGAGCCTCCGACCACCGTCTCTGGAGCATGTCGCAAGTTTGGCGTTCGTTCAATCGCTTGATTGAGTCATTGCCTCCCCGCAATCATCGTCCTCTGTCGGACATCTCTATCCGGCGTGAAGCGTGGCTGCTGGTCACTGAGCTCCGGCCGAACTCCTCTATCTTATCTCCTGTCCACCCGCACCAGGCTACTATCTCAGTGGCCGAAACAAGCGACGTCGGTGCATCGTAGCATCGCGAACTACCGAGAGGACGTGCCTGCCGCTCTGTCAACTACTGTCTACGATACAGGGGCCTCTGTGTTGCCTGACCGACGAAGCAAACGTCCGCCTGTTCATTCCACAGACTCCGGCACCCACCGACCTGCCGGCCGGTAGATCGACCGACTGACTGCCTGACTCACTGCGACTCAAAGGACGTTGACGACTACGTCGCTAGACGATCCCGCTACGATAATTAGCACAGAATATCGCTCGGGTGGTGGTGGCCGAACCGCGGCTGCACTTTCAGCTATCGCCGGCGAGCAGGACGGCAGAAGATTCCACCGCGTTCCTTTCCACTGCTGCGAGTCCAAGGATATTTGTCAGGCCTAGGCCGTCCAATAAAAGCGGCTTTACATCGAAGCAGAGTCATAGCACAGATCAACTCAGATCTAAGTGATCCCTCCTCCCTCCGAAACAATCATGAACGCTGTGAGTACCACCTACCTCCGGAGAGCATCGAGAACCATTCAGGACTCTAATTTCGACTGCTCGTTTCTGCTTCGGATCACAGAGCTCCGCTCCGACGTCGTAGAGGAACAGATGTTCGACTGATGAATGATTGAGATTTTTTCCGTCGCAGTTCGCAATCATCTTCGCCGCCCTCGTGGCCGTCGCTGCCGCTGGATACTCCGGATGGGAAGCCCCGACCATCTCGCACGCTAAGATCGCCAAGGTGTCCTACGTCAAGACCCCCGTCGTCTCCACCTCGTACGTCAAGGAGCCAGTCGTTTCCTACAAGCTCCGACCCGTTAAGTCGGTCTCCTATGTCTCCAAGCCCGTTGTGTCCTACCACTCGGCGCCCGTAATCTCCTACGCTGCTCCATCCGCCGGATGGTGGTAAGCCGAAATGACTTCGAGTCGTTTCGCCATCATTTCAGTTGCCGTTCTGTTACTGTAGATTCATAGATTCATCGAAACTATGCTTCCCTCTTTCATTTTCCGATTGGGAATCGCAGCTGTACACTTGTAATAAAACGTAGCGGGCTTTGAGCCGGCTTACCGCTTCTCTTAGAAGTCGACTTTCATTTTATTTGATCAACTCCTCAACTGATCATCTCCCTCGAATGGTATAAGGTACTCCTACGACAATTCTCAGAGGCCATAATACAGTTAGCAACATCCTTTTGGCCGAAACTCCTCCATTTCACCGAAACACCATGAGGAACACCTCTTCGACCCAACCACCATGAGAAACACCTTCTTGACCGGAGCCTCTTGACCGAAGCTTCTTGACTGACGCCGTTCGATGGGATAGGGCTACCGCGGACCCACCCGCGCAAACTGAGATTTTTTCCTCAATCCATGCATCTACTATTCAAGTCGACATTTTCAACTTCATCGTGCATCTATTCAGAACCAATATTATGTGCTTCTGGTCTAATTTGAAGTCCCTCGGAGTGAGAACAATCTCGCGACGCCGACGCGACGCTGATACTCGAGTCCGGAGCCGGGGCTACGTATAATTTTGGGGCTCAGCACCAGGGCTTGAACTGAGCGCTCGTCCGATCGCGCGTGAACATCTTGGGCAAGATTTCTCAGGTTTGCGGCGAAAGCCCCAAGGAAAAGGCACTTCGAGGCTGGAACGTCTAATTCGCCTGGTTGAACAATACGAAGCCGATAAAGCCACAGTGATTAATTTCGTCCGAGAGGTCACATTTGTTCTCAAACCCCAATATATCGAGGAGAATTCATGAAAGGGCTCAAGTTCGACAAGCTCGCGGTGAATCACAGACAGACCAACGAGGGCCTCTCATCTCGGAAATTATCGTTCCCAATAATCCAGAATCATGGAACGACTGGAAGACCTTCTCGAATAGACTCATGAGACATCCATTCTGGGAGCGAATCCGCGACCTGTTCTTCTTTTCCATCTCTTCGCTTTCCACGTATGGATCCGAGAGGATCGCGAGCCCGCATAAACGAATCCTGCCGTGGGAGAGTCTCAAATCATATTTCACACGGGAAGGGCTTCGTATCAGCCAGGAGGAAAAATCGTCCATGAATATATTTCGAAAAGGGTGAAAAATATAGAAATATTGGTTGATTGATTGATCGGTGGCTGGTGATCGGGAATCGATTCCGGTTTTTTACGCTTCCCGCTTCGAAAAGCGCTTCCGATTTGGTGAGCACGATGATGGAAGTCGATATTGTCGCGGTGCTATGAATCTCAACTCACCGGGGAAGTTCCGGGGAGATACGGAGGCGAGGTTCTGCTCATGGAGTGCCACGCAAACTCGATCACGTGAGGTCTCCTCAAGTCGGAGTCGAGACTGTCCGGAAGAGTGCAACCACGCCGTGCGGCCGAGCTCCGTTAGCTCGGAGGGAGAGCGAAAAATCGCGTTCCTAATTCCATGCATAAAATGTCTAACCACGCCCGCAGGTTGCCGTGAGAGAGCCGGGAATATCCGAGCTCTCTCCACCGGTCTCCGGTCGTCTTGTTCCTCCTCCTCCTACTCGAATAAATGTCTACTCACAGCGAGAGACTGATGAGTTGCCGCACGCGAAAAGTAGCGAATCTCCCGAGCGCTTCCTTGGCTGCACCAAAGAAGATCGTAACCGAAGTCCCAATACAGCTCGCGAAGGAGTTGTTGCCTGGAGACGTACCTCGCGACTTGGCCACTCGCTGTATGGGTGCTAGGAATTCACAGAGTCACACCATTTGATCAAAGCGTAAGCTCGTTCCGACAAGTTTTCCTCGGTGGTGTTTCATGCTGCTCAGTGTTTGAGTTGCGAGCAAGTCTCTCTTGGGCTCCCTCAAGGACTGCGGAATAGAAGTCGCTACGAGCAGAGCTACTCAGACTTTTGGAATACACTTCCAGACTGACTGAGAAGTCTGGGCTAGGTAGGAGGAGAGCATCCATATTCAGACTCCGGGTCCAGCGACGGGATTAGGATTCAGGTCCACTCCAAAATCGGAGCGGCTTTTATCTTCATATAATTGCGTATCATATAATTGCGTTTCATATAACGTGCAGATCCCTAGTGGCATATCGGGGCCCTCTAATCGTTCGTCAAAAATATTCAGGCACGGGAGACTCGATTTACAATGCGTGCGGAGCTTGAGGAACGCGCGCTTCTTGTTCTGCTCTCGGTATGGAATTGCATCGTGTCTCGCGCTAATATGATGGCGGGCGGCTCGGAGCACTTGGGGAGTGATGAGACACAGGAACCTTGAACGGCCCAACTTGCTACACTTCCGAAGTTGATGGAGCAGGCGCGCATGAATTCACAATCCCTATAAAACATTATCCTCTTCCCATGAGGCATTAATTCCCCTTTCACGACTCCCCGTACGAGCCGGGGCCCCGCGTCACTAATTGTTACTAGTGGCGTCATCGCTTTACGATCGAGAGCAAGAGCCGCGAATTCTTTTTCATTGCCCCAAATTATTCTCATTGCCGCCTCTCACGGGTTCCTGACCTCCAACTCGAAACTTCCCACTGCAAAGACGCAGAAGTAGCCCTGGATAAAAACTGCAACAAGTCCGAAGATTTATTAGGAGAAGATGAAAGGAGTCCCGACGGCGCTTCAGGCCGGAGTGGACTCCTAGAAGGGATTCGGGAGCTCTTCCTTTCAAGTCTAAACGTAGCACTCGAACAGCGCCAATGTCTATTCCTCAGGCTTGAGGCAGAGAGTTCCACGGATGGGGATGCCTGGCTATCAATCGTGCTAACATCGGTAGCGAGCAGAGGATCAACCCCAGGCTCCGAAACTTCGATGCGGGACTCTCTCTCCGATTAGGGGAATATTTCACTTTCTCTTGTCTTCCCCTCTGCCTCTGGGAACGGGCGCAATGCCCGGTGCTTCTCCTGACTTCTGAGCTGAAATTATTAGTATCGCTATCGATGGATAACCGAAGGGATCTCCTCTCTCATTATTTCCCGTTCGACTTCAGGCTTGAATGAAATAGAAGGGAGAACACTTTTTCAGCGGCGATATTGACAAATCCGATGGCCGACATCTTGGGCGGCTCAAAGTCTGAAGCGGAGACGGATGCGGCTCCCGGAACGGATGATATTTCTTCTTTCAAATCCGGCAGGGCAACGGGGTTCGGACGCTGCCGCCTGGGCCTCCCGCTGAACCATTCCAGGAGGGGAAGAAGCTTCCTCTGAGTTCTGTGCGATCAATAGCGAGGCCCAGATGGCTCTGCCAAATGAAATACTGTCTTACGTTTGACGGGGGGCATGCCCCGATCTTCGAGCATGTTCTATTTAGCAGGCAGGGTCTGAGACCTCTCATTAACTCGCTAATTCCAATCGCTAGGAACGATATCTCCTGGTCGCCAAGAAGCTCGCTGAATCTCGGAGAGGTCATGATGCAGTCTCGGCGGAGTGTCAAAGGAGACAAACATAGACGAGCTTAGTGCTAGATGATCCGAAACCGACTAAGATGCGCGAAGTACCATAGAACGGTACAAAAATGATACGGAGATGGACACGGGAGTCGTCCTTCGTGTTTTTCTATGGCTGCAGAAACGAGTCTCCCCCTGAAACAACAAATTCTCTAATATTGATGAATTATCCTATCCGAGGGGCATGCTCCAATGCTGGTAGAGGAAATACGGTATTCAATCCGAAATCGGTGATAACACAGAAGTTGGCTCGAGCCTCAATCGAAATTGTCGAACAGATATTTCACAGATTTCAGTCGATAACTGAGAATCTAAGAGTGCGGGATGTACATCGCGCACCCCTGGTGAAGAAGGATCTCGAACAAGCGATTCGGATCTTGGGATCATTCGATCCGAACGCCGTGGTGATGAGGAAAATTCTGAGACGATGAGATGCGGCGCGGTGTTCTTTGCTCCTTCGGTCTATCCTTGAGTTCGAAAACAAAGATCTTTGGATAAAACGCTGGATTTTATTGACGTGACCGATTCGCCTGATCAGTTCGTACGGTTTGATATCAGTGTTCGGTCTTTCCGAATCTCCTCGATCACATTGCTGGGGTATATCTCTTGCTCGTTAATTTTATTGTAATCGTCGCATTGTAATCGTAGCTTTCGTGTCAATACGACAGTCGTGTCACCGGTTGCCAATGGGGTGTCACAAGTAGAACCTGAGAAAATCTTGGATAACCATTTATTGTAATGAGACGAAAACCCTCTCAAATGGAGAGATTTACGCCAAGGAAACAGGCGGGTAATTCATTTCACGGTAACTCAACCCGCGAACGAGCCAGGTAGGTGCTGTGCCTGAGGTGTCGAGAGTGGATAACGCATTATCAGCGTTTGATCTGACTCGGTTCTTCTCAAGGAAACTCCTCGGGAGACGTGAAACAATCCTAAACATCAACATCACAGAGGGGTGCGGTGTGGGGTTGCTGATTTCAGCCGGCCAGCCAGCCAGTCTGCAGACACCAATAAGTTCCGGTGGAGAGCTCGAAGATCCCGGCATCGCACGACTTCGTCGAAATACTTCAGTGTTTTCCCGTGACCGTTCCAAGTTCGACGCCGCAATTGCTCGCATCCCCGCCATGCGCGAGTCAGACCCTGAGATCCGCGTGTCCTGTTTCGTCGTATATGTTTCGCGAGCCAAAAAAACTCCCCTCCCCCAACTCTCGTATAACTCTCGTATTAGAAACTGCGTAAGTCCTCAGATAAAAATATCAATCTGTCGGTTTCCTCAGTCAAGCTGACGCTTTCATGGGGCGAGAAAGGACTGGCTGGCTCCGCAGGTGTTGCTTTCGAAATTGCCCTCCATCGGGCGTCCAGAATTGATTCTCTCACGGTATTCATTCTCCCTAGGTTTGAGGAAAATTTCCTCCGATATGCTTAATGTCTTCCATGGGTGTCGTCATGCAAGAGTGTGTGAACACATGGTGCAAACTATCAGTTATTCCGGTGAACTACAATATACAAGCGAAATCATGATATGTGGCTCCCTCGGATGTCTTCTATTCAGTCGACACCCGCCGGAATCTCCTGGCGTCGTCGTGTCATTCGTCTCCCGCTCCCTCCCACAGGAGCTTGCGCGGCATCCACTCTATGTACACTCGTTCCTTATGTTGTGGGGTTTCTTCCGCTCGATCACAAAACGATCTCACCCGCAGGCCGAGTTGACGGAGACACGACGCTCAGGATTTCTCTCGGCAAACTCGTCTCTCGCTCAGGTCAAAAGTTTCATAAATCTCGACTTGGGCATCCCTTTTGGTTCCTTTTCCCTTCCCGGGTAGCGGTTCTCCGAAAGCATCAATGTACACCAGCGAGCCCCCAACCTAAAACCCATCACGCGAATGAAAACTCTCTCTTTTCACACAGGTTCCACGGGGACCTCAGGATTTGACTGGGACGTTCCTCCGTCTTCGAAGCGGACGACTAGTTGACGTCTTTCTCCCGACGAGCCTTGGTTAACGGGTTGATAACGATGACATCCGGTGCCCACAAGGAGCAAAACGATTGCCGCGAACAAAACGAACACCACCTGGAGGAGAAGGGGAAATTTCGTCAGTCGAAAGTTTTCTGCGAAAGAAAGACTGCGCGGAGAGCTCAGCTCCGCTCTAATTGTAGCGACAGGTCGACGGTCGCAAGGGAATTGTGCTCTTGACTCGGTTGGATTGTGATTCCCCATCTGTCCTGAAAGTTGGGACTGTTCTTCTGCTCGCTCCTGATCCTCCAGTGGAGCTTCGAAATGAGATTCTACGTTCTCCGCGAGGTCTGAATTTCCTGAGGTCCGAGGACTTATCTCGCCAGCAATATATCGAAGCGATTGCGGGACCCCGGAGCGGGGGGATCAGCGATCATTTATTTCCACAAAGCTGAGATTGAAAACGAATAGAGGACTACGTTTTCTGTTATGATATGATCATCGTCCGGATGAAGCGAAAGGCGTACCTCGAAGCGAGAGGGTCTTTTTGACTTTAATGCTCTTCGATTACGCCATGACCTCGATACCGCGAGGTTCACCACGGCGACGCCGACGTGGCGGTCATTCAATCACGCGGTGGATTCGATTCCCATCCATGAGTATCTTGAGGATTAAGTTCCCAGGCATCCGCTCGTGGGTTCGGACGCCACGCAGCTCCAAGCGGAAAGAACGTACGGTATGAATTGGGTACGGTACCGCAGCTCATTTTTTCGGCGGAGCATTATTCTGCCGTGACGGCTCTCTTCGGCTGTCCTCCCGAACTCCGAGCGAGACGTCCCTGGTTGGTGGTGGTGAGAAATATGGTCAATGGACCGCTATCATGCCGAGTTGTTGTAGTACCCGAACAACAATGAGAAGAAAAGTGGGTCTCGAGTTTTTCTGACGTATTCCGCTCACGGAACGAGTCGTGCCCCCCTCTTCACATTGAGGATCATAATAGGCTCGAGAATAGTTCCGTAGGAAGGAAGATTTCTGTTGACGCGTAGTATCCGCTCCAAACAAAACGAAGGGGGGCGGGGGAATCAGAGCAGACAGCCGGGGAACGCCGAGATTTCAGACGACGATTTTTCTCTTCCTCCCCTGATCGTACGCTGTCCTGCCCTCGAAATTTGCTTCTCTCTTGTTCCTTAATTCTTCTCGACAACAACAACATGTCGGCTCAGAGGATGAACGGAACGCGACGCGTCTTGGGTCGGGGGCGCAGTTCCCGAACTTGTTGAATCTAGTTCGGCGCGAAAGAAATCCCCGAACATCCAAAGCCGTGATAAGGATGCTCACACTCTCTCGCTTCAAGATTGTTTCACTTTGATTGGCGTCTGCTCTCGGATTTCCAGTAAGAAGACATCTCTCGTTTGTTTCTCGTCGGATCCGTTGAGGAGCAGTCACGTCGCGCTGTCGGGATCAGACGAGATCTTTTGTTCATTTTGAATAATCTCTTCGTTACGGCTGGAGAGAGTTTGCAGATACGCGGAAGCACTGGACTGGTAAAGAAGCACTCCAAAATCAACTCGTCGCCCCCGCTGCTGCATGGGGGATGAAGTTTCGAAATTATAAGAGAAAGTCATAGGGGGATCCTCATATTCACCGGAGCGTGAGAGGTCCGCCGGGACGGTGCTATTATCGCTCCTAAGACTCCCCGGAAAAGCGTTCGGAGTCCTTCTCTGAGTCTCCTTCCCTTTGTCTTTCTTGACTTGCAAATACATCGATGAGCACTCCGAATTCATTGCGCTGCTCAGACTCAATTTCCAGTGCTCCTCCCTGCCCGATGCCGACTTTTGTTTATGCCTCCCCTCTCCCTCCCGCTTCGATGGGGTTTAATGGAGATGCATGAACGAACCGGGTGACGGAGAACGGTTTCACGATGGGACTCAGCCGGGATGATGCGTGGGCGCAACGCTCACGCTGCGTATGAGATGGGCGTGCACCATCGCCGATTGGAGGAGGGGGAGAGGGGGGAGGGGGTCACAACGTATGACTGCCGGTGTCGTTGGCGGTTTCCCCCGAGGGCCTTTCCGCGAGTCATTTTCAAACTACTTGGGAATCGGAACCAGCGTCCGACCCGTCCGGAAAACGAATGGGACCCGATTTTCCCGATTTTTCCCCGTCGTCAACCGACGCCTCTCAGACCTCTAGCCGAGCTCCCATCGGATTCCCTGGACGTCGTAGGTGTCTCGACAACGGACCCGCTTCAGTCTCTGGTCAGGTTTCGGAACGAAAAACGCTTTCCACCGATCAAAAATTATTTCTCCTCACTCGGGCCCTCGGCTCTCCCGACGGGAGGCTGAAGGGGCGAAATCAGCTCTGAGACCCTATCTGACACCGGGGAGCTTAACGGCGACAATTCGGCTCTGTAAACAATGACCGCAGCGGGCTGGCCGCCGACACCTGCCCCAGAAGCGCCCATTAGCCTGGAGCAAATCGAGCGAGCCCAAAAACAGGAGCCTTTCGGTCTCGGTCAATTGCTCCCGTCTGGCTCACTGTGCTCAATACGCTGAGCGCAGCGGTCCTCCAAGCAAGCTTCATGGCCTGCCGGCCTCATCCCATGTCGAATTATCTGCTACCGGAGAGCACCGCCATGCGGAACATCGCTCCGATCCTGAACATGAGCCCAACTTCATTGTCTTCGCGAACGACGGGGCCCTAGTTTTCTTAAATGGAGCGCCGCGCCGAGTTGGAGTCCCGAGAAAGAGCGTCAGATTTTCAGCCAAGGCAGCTGAGGACCTCCCCTTGGAATGCCCCTGAGGGAACGACCTGAATCGGGCGGCGACTGAAGACGATTTCTCAACGACATGGAGCGGGAAAATCACCGGGACCAAGCGCGAAGAGAGCCATGTGTTCAAAACACTCGGTGCAGATCACGCGCCGATTTGCATGGCCACGCCGACGGTGTCCCGAAAAGAGAGCTGCCGAAACGAAGTTGGAGGGCACCCGTTGCTCCGATGAGGACCCCACAGGAATCCGGGGTGTTCCCCCCTCCAGATATCGGCGTTAATCATCTCCGTACCAATAGTTTAGAGCTTCGGTGCTATTTTCCCGGGGTAAAACGTTGAAAGAAAGAGCTCACCGTTACATAGATGACGGCATCTATGGATTGATCGATGCGCGGGTAGTGGAACGTCTTGTATGTGGGCGAGTGTGTGAAGCCCAAAGCATTCGAGTTCAGCGTCACATCACATATCCGGAGCCTGGAAAACGAAAAGATAAGACCATAAGACACTCCATCCGCCCCACGAAAATTCCTTGCGCCTCGTTATGGGAGGTTTTCTCTCTCTGAATGTATGGAGTTTGGTTTCATCGAAAGTGCAGCCACGGCCGCTTTAGTGGAGGCCGCGAATTTCCGCGGATTTGGCGGAAATTTTCCGCGAAAAATTTACGTCCCTAATCATAATTGACTGAGCTAATCTCACTTCTTTCCCTTGATGAGTATGAGAAGCCTTCCGATCTGCCGGAGATGTTCACTACCCGGACATGCGACACGACTGATATTTTCTACTAATGGGCAGTTTTTTGAGACTACTATGTTTTCAGGCGCTTCCAGGGAAATTCACGTTCACACCGAATAGAACCTCGGGTTGAAGAAGATCTCATCTGTGTCCAAAGAGGTGCCAGCAGCCGTGGCACCGCTCGTTTGAGCATCGGAGCGAGAAGCGGAGTGCACTACGGCCAGAAAAGACTAAGAAAGTGAAGGAGTTCAGACGGCCACACACAACGAGCAGTTGTATGCAAATGTATCCCCTCTGCGCCGAACAACAAGCCTCCTCCTGAGTAATAGGGACTAGCGGAAAATAAACTTTACAAACAACAAGCCGCCTTGTTTTTATTTCACGGATCTCTCGCTCTCTCTGGGGACGTGACGACGACGACGCCGACGTAGCTGCTCTTATCAAGTGCGCTCATCTCACTCGGTTGTCGGCTTTCCCTCATCGACTCAGACAGCGCAACAAATCCTCTAGATTCTAGATCGCTCGCCCGCTGGTGCTCTCGTCTTTCTTTCCCTTGCAAGAGCCAGCTCAGCCGCCTGTGCGGCGACAGACTTCACCCGGCGGGCTCATTTGACACTCCGTCGGGGTATGCGCGACCGAGGAGCTATTTTGCATGAATGATGGATGTTCATCCTGGTGCTGAGGGCGAAATTGTTTTTATTCGGTCATCCTGCCCGGCTGCGCTCTCAACTCGCCGGATTCTCTCTTTTCTTTCCATCTCAACGTATTCGTGTCCCAAGGAGCGAACCTCGCGGCGAGCGCGAGTCAGCCGCAGACAGAAGCGGAATGAAGAACGACTCCCTTGGAAAATGCCACCGCAGGAGCAGGAGAAACTGAAGGTAGTGGCAGAGTTTCGCAAATAGACGCACGATCAGAAAAACAGCGCGTCATTCCGAGCGAGTGTCCCTGGTTGTCCCTCGAGGAAAAATATTCGGCACATTCGTCCCTGGCAAATGTTTTCGTGCATCAAAACCGTAGCCGTCGCTGCAGGTGTTCAGTCCTCCGCTGCGTTCGACAATGGTAGCAGTCGCAGGTGTACGAGCGCACATCCGAACACTACGCGGTACATAAGCGAGAACCACTTGCGCTGGATAGCCGGAGCATTGTGAGTGCAGATGCACTTCCTGAGGGGTGACAGTGTCTCCTCGAGAAAGACTGTAGATGCGCAGCTCCTCGCAGATGGGCTCAGCTACAGGTGTTCGCGGAAGACGTTTCGGGAGGAAAGTCCACCAGGGGATCCTTAACCGTTGGATCCCGGTTAAGGATCCCCGGGATCCAACGGCTAACACCGTGTCCGCATTTTTGAGACGCAATCTCAGCCCTGTCAGCCAGCCGGTCGACTTCTTCTGTGCTGGAAGTTCCTAAATTCAGAGCAGCCTTATTACTCCTCCGCATCGGTTCCTACTGCATAGCCTAATCAGGATTCATTGCAATCGACGTAGAGTTCAATCAGGTGGAGGAGGGATGGGAGAGGGCGAGCGGAACCGAGCCAGGGAAAAAAACACAAGCAAGGAAGAACCTCCTGCGACGGGAATAATCGCAGGTGAAAATACTTCGTGGCACAAGCTCGACGGGGGGGGGTAAGGTACTTTGGATACACGATGGAGCAACTTTCATGCGGGTGTGTTCTGACAGATCTTTTGTGTGGTTAGCGAAACTCTCCGCGGAGTTCCGGCGGCCCAGCTACTCCCCCGCTGCTGCAGCGGGGGATGGCCGCAAGATCTAATACAGTTTGTTGACGCCGGCGCCGCTTCTATTGGTTCTATTGGTGTTGCTGCTCAAACACACTCGGCCTGCATCTGCTCGCTCGTCTACAAGGGAATTTCTACGAGTAGCGGGACGACGGAGAACATTCGTCGTATCCAACGCGTTTTCCTTCTGTAGTTTGAAGCTGTTGCCGGGGAACAGAAACACGAGGCGACCGAAGGCCGATAAGCGCGCACGACGCTGAGGTCGGCTCATCGGAATCGTCGTCGTCGCGATCCAAAATAAAGACTCCCGAGGGAAAGGATCGCTGAACTGCCAAATCACCCCCCTGGGCTCCTAGGCTTACCGTTCCGACCGGGAACGCGACGGGCTATTTACGCGCCTAGAAAATGGCGCTTTAGATTCAATATGCGTCGTTGTACAGCCAAAGGCAAGAGCCGTCTTAATCCCGAGACCGGAAAACGTTTCTTTCAACGGCTCCATAATGTTTCCGAACGCCAGGCGGGGAACCGAAACATCCGTTGCACTGATTTTCTGTAACACGACTCCCAGAGAGAGGTTCCACCCTCCCAACGGCGAGCGCAACGATCTTTAACGCTCCGGTATCGTGATGATTATTCGCTCCGCTAATTGATCCTAAACCTCCCTCATGATTTCCGCAATAATTGAGGAACATCAACGGATCGACTCCACAGAGGAGGATCGAGGAAGATGAATTATTTGGATAGAGTGATTCTAGACTCATCCAGCCGAAATCGTAAATCGAACTCGGGCTGGGGAGGCTCAAACCCAGAAGACCGTTTGAAATCGGAGGAGGTCGGGCTCGAGCCGGACGAGAGGAACTGTGGACACCGGCGTCAGTGCAGTGAACAGGTGAGGAATCGAACGACTCTCTTGGGACCGGTGTTTCGAGCGCACAGGGTAGTCAGCGGACGGCAACGGGAAGCCGCTGGATGACGAGCACTTTTCACTCCACGCCACTTGTGGCTGCGATCTGCGACGCGGAGATGCCGTGGTAGAACACAGTGTTCATGGCTCGGCCGAGCTTCCTTTGCGTTATGCACGGTGAGTGTTTTCCGTGCTCGCCCGAAAAAATGCCATCGGAATAGATCCATGACTCGCAGCAGGAATTCCATCGACCGGAAAGCGCTAACCCGATGGAATTGTGGGATGGTCCAATCGCGGGACTCCTGAGACGCGAACATGTCCTGACGTCAACAAAGAGTAAAGATAGCATTGATGTCCACACACAAGGAGCGAACTAATGAAACGGAATAGGACCATGCTTTCGCCTTCCTTTTTTGTGTAGTCGACCGAACGACGTGGCCGCTCCCAAAGTAGATCCGCGTCACGGACGACACGCGCATTAATCCATCGGCGCTTCAGCGAGCCCAACCAGGGGAATGAAATATTCAATTACACTTCCAACGGTGCGACTAAGGCTGGAGTTGAAGTGCGCTGATTTGTCACGTTCCTCCGCTCCACGTCTGATGTGAGGTCGTCATCCGCCAACCGATCGGATCTCCTATCGATATGCGAGTCCGAGCTTGCTTCCATCACCTATTGTGGGCACTCTTATCGTCACGTCGAAATGGGTCCCTGAGATGGGGCGGGCATCACTCCCGAGATAAGTCGTCAAAGAGCTTTTCGATTTTGTTGGGGGACTCTCTCGAGACGGTACCGGACGGCTCCTCGTTTGACGGCCCGTCGCTCCCAATTGGGGAGCGGAATTATCTCCGAGAGGAGCAGCTTGAGGAGGGGACAGGCTCGGGAGTGACAGACTATTTCTTCCGAATTGCGCCCGACCAAATGCGCGTCATCGGCACTGGGATGATAGATAGGTGTCCGGAGTCTGGTTTCTTCGGCAGGGGGATTCCCGCCGGTCATCACGGTCGGCGGCAGACCTCTCGGTCCTGAGTCGCAATCCACTTGCCCGAAGCCGATCTGTATCTTGTCGTGCGAGATCGGTACGCCTTGTTTGGAGCTTGATTAATTTGTTTCCTTCTTCCCGACTCCTGTTCCCCTCCTCCCCCGTCAGGCCTCTGTCCTCATGTTGTTACGGCTCACCAGCGGAGCGATCGGGATTGATTTACATTTACCCGATAGATGGGGAACCGAGACGGACTGAGTGGAGGACAGCTTGCCAACGACAAATTCATTATTCCCGGCGAATTGAATGCGCTTCGCTGGATTCGATCCCACGTACAGCAGCCACTGTTGATTACTTTCTCACCGCGCCTGCGGACGGCGATGCTCACGAACATACATTTGATCGGAACGAGCCCCCCGGAAAGAGGCACGCGCGGTTATACCAATGCTGCTTATATTTTCCCGGGAAAGATTTCTGGACAAGCCTCCGGTTTCGAGAACGAACCGAGGAGCCGATGAGGGATTGAGGTACGGAAGAAACGCTGGAAAGAAACGAAGCTGCTGACTGGGCTTCCAAGCGACCAAGTGGCTCAATCGAGTTCATTCGGCGCGTTGCTGACGGATGGTGGGCGTAGCAAACTGTTGATTTATGAGAGACGTGCGCCGCGGGTCAAAGGCTAGCTGCCGGTCGGTCGTTGGGTCAGCTAGCCCCACCACCATTACAATAAAACGGAAGATCCACAGCAAACTTCTCACTTTCCAACACAAGCTTCCGATTGGCGCTGCCGACGCCGTCGTCATCGCCTTTTCCAGTCTCGCTGGATGACCGGTCTCACGAAGTCATTCTTCCCGCAGGGGAGGAGCAACCCAAGCGTCCTGGCAGCTGTCCCCGCGGCTGTTGTTGTGCAACACCTGCGAGGACTCCGAGACGGAGTCGAGAAGCTGCTCCAGACCCTCAATCCGTCTCTTCCAAATCTGGGCAACAATTTAATTTTTCCCGAGGAAGTATTTGCATTGGGAAGCTAAAATGGTTGCCATGAATCTTCATGAGCGTCCTCCTCCTTGGAACAGTTCTCTCGCTGCGTCGTTCCCCGGAAGGCGATTCGAGGCGGCACGATCCACCGGGA